AATATTTATTTAAATTTTAACTAATAAAATTACTTACGCTACTATAAGACAGCATTCCTCCATCCCATCCTCCAATATATACAATAGTTCCATCCGATAACATAGTTGCAGTATGATCGGATCTTCCTAATGGTATTCCAATGGTCGTGCCATAAGTATAATCCTGATCAAGAGTTCCAACAATAATCATGTCCGCAAATCTTTCGGTTATGGTTGCCCCAACAGGAGAATCATAAATTCCACCGAATATATAAATTTTTCCATCTGAACCGGAAACTGCATCCGTTATTCTTCTTCTAGGAGGTTCAGTTCCTGAAAAACTTGGTTGGGACCATACATTTGATGTTGTGTCAAACTGCCAGGTAAATCCTGAATATACGTCAGTATTGGAAGCGTCCCTTTGTATTCCCCCAAATAAATAAATAGTTTTATTATCACTTCCTCCAACAGCTGCTGTTGTCCAACCACTGTAAAAAGGTGTAGATGAATCCGATGAAAGATCAACCCATGAAGGACTTTCGACTTCAAAGGAAGTACCTAAATCTAAGTAGAAAACATTTTTAAATGTAACCGAAACCGCTGATAAATCTATTCCTCCTATAATATATAATTTATTATCCACTAACGCTGTTGAATGAGCATAAGTCCCAAGTGGTTTATAAGAATAAACCGGAAGTGTTAATGATTGTAAAATGAGAAATAATAATAGAAAAATTTTATTTTTAAACCTCATTTTTTTATTTTAAAAGAAAGAGAAAATGGAAAAATGCGAAAAAACAATTCGCCACTTACTCATATATACGAAACCATTTCATTAATGCAAATAGTAATTATTACATTTGTGTAAATAACTTGTCTTTATGAATTTGGTTCTATGCATCAAAATTTATTGTCTTGATTCGAATTATCTAGTTTTTTTGCGAAAGCATGACCACATTAGGAAATTGTTTATATTTGAAATTAAAACACCAGTTTTGTAAGACCAATATGTTTTCTTGTGCTTCATTTGCTGTTCGTGTAACAATTTTTTATTAAGTATATATTTATAGGTAACAATGTCATAATCCATTCAAGAAATTACTTTAACAACTCAAGATTGTAAAATTTGACATGACATAAACCTAATTACTATCAAATCTTTAAACTCTTGAAGGAAAAAAAATTTTTTTAGTCAAATATCAAATCCAATTCCTATGTTTCAGCGGCATAAATAAATACAAAGAAAATTTAGATAATTATAGATTTTTTTTTTTATTTTTTTACTTATTTTTAGAAAGAATAGAAAGAATAAGGATTTTTTTTTTTTTTTTTTATAATAAAAAACCCATTTTGTAAATTGCATTACAATTTGGTTCGAATCAAGTAAATTGCATTTTGTTTATTTCGGGTTGTTTGCATTGTTTCAAATTTATAAAACCGGTTTTGAATTGCTAAAAAAAACCAATTAAAAATTATTAAATTGACGGCTCCAGATTTTATCAAATAATAATATTTATTTTTTATTAATAATTTGTATTTTCTAACGATCGCTTAATAAATTTTATGGTACATATCAAACCAAATGACAATTTAGTTTAAACTTTAAATATTTTTTCAAAAGATTTGTAACCTTT